CCATGAATTGTTTCTCCTCTGTGACACCCCTCTACTGTGTACCAGTCTGCCTTGGAACCAATCAATTATGGACAGAAACCTCTACAAACTGTGAGATAAATAAACCCTTTTCCTTTTAACTTTGGGTGTAGGATATTTTCAGCCATGAGAGAAAAGTAATTAAGACCTAAAGGAGGCAAAATAGTTCCCCTTGAGTCTAAGATATCATAGAATTGTGTATTCTGTGACAAACAGTTTTCCTTTCATTAATTTTATTCCCAAACAAAGACCTTGGCAGTAACCACTGATGCTGAGGCTCTGGTGACTCCTAAATTGTTCATTTTTCTGGTAACAAGCTGGGAAATAAGATTTCTACAAGAACAAACCCCTAACGTGTTTGTCAATTTCCATGATGTAAATTCTCCCACCCAAATGATTGGTTTTAAGCCACCAACTGTTGAGCATCAGCATGCAAAAATTCCTGAACACTTTATAGTCATCTGTGTTCCAATAAAACTTTATTTGTCAAAATAGCAGCCCAGTGCTAATATTATAGGGCAAAAGGATTGGTATGGGAAAGGGAGTAGAGAACTGAGATCAGACCCATCAGTTTGACCCTCATCTGGACTCTTTAACGATAGGCGAGCTAGATTTTTTTTTTTTTGAGCTTGAGGTAGTTCATCCAAAACAAAGAGATGATAATGCTAACTTGTCAGGGAGGGAGGGCTTTAAAAATTGGATGAATATATGCAAACCAGGTACAAACTACAGTTTCCTTATTTTTATTATTCTAGTTCTAGTAGTCAAGTCATCTATGAGTCCAAGAATTGTGCTGATATTTTTAGTTCAGGCTTCTCTGAGATACAGGCTGACAGCTCCTAGGTGATAGTTCCTCTGAGAAGCAATAAACAATCTGAGCGGATTCCTTTTCCAGACTTATGCCTCATGCATAGAGAAGGAGATGCTTTGGGGACAGCATTTGAAGTGGGGTGGTGGATGTTTACTTTTTACACTACCCAGCCTGGGCCCCACCTTCTGGCCTGTTTTTCCAGGCAGCCTGCAATGCAGAGTCAGTGCCACCCTTTCCTCAAATGCCCCTCCCTGGTCTGGGCTCCAGGGAGGCTCACATAGGTCCCTTCCAGATGTCAAAAGCATCTTTCCTCCCGTTTTAGGCACCCTTCCCCAGGTCTCCCACAGAGGACTTCTAGTCTAGTCTTTTGTTTTGCAGGAACTGCAGACCTCGCAGGTCAGGTGCAGAAGTTGTCTGTGACGGTCAGCTCCATGTACCTCCAGGCACAGATAGGAAACTGAGCCGGGTCTTAGCTGGAAAGTGATGGAGAAATCACCAGGTTGGAAGACTGTTGTGTAGGGGTCAAGCGCGTGGCCCTCACCTCAGGTTGCCTAGGTGCAAAACCTGACTTAGCGCTATAGGCTGTGAGTCCCTGGGCAAGTGTGGGTTGTCTCCTGTGTCTCCTGAACACTGGAGTTGTACCTGGTATTAAAGATGGCAGTGCGGATTACGATGGCTCTTTCCTCTATCTGGGAAGCAGACTGATTTCTAGTGACTGGAGAGCAGCTGCCCTGTGCCCTCTCTCTCTGCCGTGGTGCCCATCAGCTAGTGCATGGCCCCAAATGCTCTCTTAGCCCAGGAGTTTACATAACTCTTTGGTTGAATGAATGCACAAGTGATTTCGGAGTTGCTCACCTTCGCATTTTGCTCACTTGCTATTTCGTTCATTCATCCCGCATTAATTGGACATCTACCATGTGCCAGGCACTCTGCTCAGTGCTCAGATTACAAATGAGCATGGTGTTTGCTGCCAGGGATTTGCTTGTCTGCTGGATGACAGATGAGCTAACAACTACGGGACAGGCACACCTGGGGCAGCACGAATGGGGACCTCTGAGGGGTTTCCGGCAGGAAGTGGGAAGGACGTTCCAAGCAGAGGGGAACTTGAAGTACTGTGAGTTGTCCAAGGGCTTCTGAGAATTTGTATGACTGGACCACAGGGCAGCAGGGGAGAGGTGGAAGGTGCTGGGGCAGGGGAAGTGGACAGCATCAGATAAAGAAAGGCCGCTCGGACCAGACTGACTTGAGTCTCATCTTTATTCTGAGGGTGATGGGGACCTCAGAGGGTGTAATCAGGGAGTAATAAGTGCATGCTAAGGGCGAGAGCCTGCTGGCAGTGACCTTGTCCCGGGGCTGCCAGCTCTCTGTGAGCTCCCTCCACCCTGCAGCTCTGTTAACACTGCTGTCAGGAGCCCGGAGTGTGAAGCACGGTGGTTTCTTTTCCTTTTGCATTATTTTTGTTTTTCTGGACAAACGCTTATGAAAATGTCATTTACACTCTGAAGAATGTTTTGCCTAAGGCAGAGTTGGACGTCAAGCCCAACCTGCTGCCCGGTGACAGGTTGCTGTGTGCAGTGAGGTCTTGGTGTGAATAGGCAATTACCAGCACCAGCTGTTGCACAGAAAGCCCCAAGCTTCCGAGGTGGGCTGCTCAGGTCAGGATGGCTCCAGGAACTGTGCTCCCTCTGTGTCTCCGTCAGGTCTCAGTTTACCCCCATGTGCTGTGGTTGCCGCTGCTGGGCATCCAGTTTTCTTCCTTTCCAGTGCCCCCAGCCCTCGGGAAGCAGGCACAGGGGGTCGGGGAGCCTTGTGCCCTCGGCAGCAGTCTGTGCAATTGCTGTAGAGCTACGTGCACACGGGAGGTGCTTGATTAAGATGTTTTAAGGCTGATTTAAAGATCTCTCCTGTATTTTATTTAAGAAGGAGGGAGGGGGCAAGAGAGGAAGAAAGAAGGAAAGGAGGGAGGAAGAAAGGAAGGGAGAAAGGGAAAAAGGCAACTAATTGATATATTTTAAAGGCTTTCTTGTGGCCAACATTGTGGAGGTTGTTCATTTAGTCTGTACTTATGTATATATCCTTGTGCAATAAGAATAGCATCACTTTTTTAGAGATAAGAAAAATGTTTTTTTGAGGTCAAGGAATTCACTCTCATTTGTGAAACAGATATTGCCCCAAGTGGGTCTAGAATGCAGGGCTCTTTTCAGCACATCTTGCAGCCCCCAAGACTGCAGTGGGTCATCAACCTTGAGCTCTAGACCCTCATTTGGCCCCTGGATCTCTGATATGGGCCACAACTGATGTCCTGGGGAGGCCACCATGTGTCCAGGTGCACACAGTGTGAACACCTTGGTGCCGGGGGCACGGTGGACACTGGTGCCAGGAGTGGGTGGAACTCGTGGGTCTGGGGAGGGAGCAGCTGCCCTTGGGGGCTGTTGCAGGAACTGGAGCCTCAACACTGAGTCCAGACATGGTGCCTCCTGCCTGGGAGACAGTAGTAGGAGTGAATACCTCCGTCTCACTTGTCTCCTGCTTGTGACGGTGATCCTTGGTGGTTCCCAATGGGAGCAAGTGAACCAAGGTACCTACAGGACCTATAATAGCAATGGCAGACTCTGGGGTGCAGGGCAGGGTGGAGGAGGCTCTAGAGGGGCAAAAAGAGATGCCATAGCACAATTTCTGTCCTTGCACTTGTGGAGGGAGAAGGTCCAGGACTTCAACGCCTGATGAGTATGTGTTCCCACAGAGACAGGTCCACAGGTCCACAGGTGCCCCAGCCCTTGGGGGTGAGTCCATCTCCCCCATCCCGTGGGTTTTGCGGGTTGAAGGCCAGGTGCCACTGGAACCCAGGGAGATTCTGACCTTCTGCCCAGGTGGTCCACCTTCCTCCCGGGACAGCTGCATCAGACTAAGAGCAGACAGAGCTTCTAAGAGCAGGGTGGGCTCTGGCTGGGCCGCTGTCCCAGTATTGAACTTTAACAGTGATGGCAAAACTTTTAGAGGCCCAGTCCCCAAACTGCAGCCCCAAACCCACTTTTTTTATCACAAAGTTCCAACACTGCAATTAAACCTGAATACTGAGGGTTTAGTTTAGAGACAACAACTCATACACTTGGCTCACGTGTGAGACAGTGCTGTGGCAATCGTGCCATAGGTTCAGCACCACTGCATTGTAAGAGAGGCGTGAATCTTTGTTACGCTGAGCCACTGAGATTTGGGGGTTGATGATTATAACAATGGGTTTTAATTAATACCAGTAACTGATATGCTCTCCTCTTCATAGTGATTGGTCTGACAACGACAGGTCTATACTTACTGATGACGCCTCAATTTTATACTTTATGTGCTGAGCCCTGAAAGAGAGATATTAGCATGTGTGGGGAGGTACGCTCTAAATAGAGCATTCATTCTGCTCAGAGAGAAAGATTATGATGATTCTTATTTGGTTGTGAGTCTGTGGTCAATGTTTTGCTAGTTTTTATTTTTATTTATTTATTTTTTCTCATTGAGTTTATTGGTACATTTTAGGGATACAGTACAGTTACACTCATCATTGGGATCTTGTACCTGTACATGACAGGTCTTGGTTCTCACTTTTTCTCCTTACCCCTGCCCTCCCTTCACCCTCTACTCCCCTCCCCATTTACAAACACTTTATTTCCATTTTTTCATTTTCTCTATTTTTTTCTTTTCCCTTATTTCCTTTCCCCTACCCTTCTCATTCCCCTACACCTTTAGCCCTCTTCTTCCTATTTCACATTCTCAATTATACCATTAGGATCTTATTTACGATGATAGTTTTTTACACCAGAGAAACTGTTCGGTATTTACATGTGTGACTTATTTATTTTACCTAATAGTATCTCCTCAGTACACATCCATTTTCCTATGAGTGACTCTAATTTCTCATTTTTTCTGGCTGAGTAGTATTCCATTTTATAGAAAAACCACATCTTTATCCAGTCTCCACCTGATGGGCAAATGGGAGGTTCCCAAGCTTTAGCTATTACAGACTGTGCCGCTATAAACAAGGGTGTGCATATATCACTGTGATTTTGCTGGTTTTTAAACATGTGCTCGAGTTAGGTATTTATTATTCATTATCTCTGTTTTACGTAAGAGAAAACTATGGCTCAAAGAGATTGAATAACTTTCCTGTCATTGGCCAGCGGAAGAGCCATCAAGTGACTAATAAGTTAGAAGGAAGCGAGGACCCTCAGGTGGAACAATGCGGAAAGGACTTTCAGGACAGCATGCGCAGAAGATCAGGTAATGGGAAGATGTCCGCCAGCAGTGAGGGGGACTTGGGATAAATGAGCTGCTAAAGTTCAGAGAGCTTCACTAATCACTTTTTTAGAATTCAGAGTTTCCCCAAGCATTGTGTGTGTGTGTGTGTGTGTGTGTGTGCGCACATGTTCTCAGTGTAAAAACACTCGGAAAGAAAATCGCAGGCAACACCCTACCCTTTTGCACAAGAGTGCTGCAGTTTGCCCAGTTAGCCTGGCTAGTATGAAGAAGAGATGGACTGTGAACTCTTGCTCAGAGCCTGTTCTCTTTTTCTTGTACTTGTACTGTAATCGAAGTTCCTTTAGAAAGTTGTCGTCTCTAACCAGAACTCCAAAATCATTCCGGCTCCAATTTCTAAACAGCCCGCCATGTTGCCACCTCCCAACATTTGGGGGACCCCCCTGGGGGCTGGGCCTGGAGCCCTGGTGGGTGGGGCAGCTGGCACATAAGTTCCCAAGTTCTGCTACGGTCCCAATCTGGGACAGTTTCACCCAAATAAAGGTCTTACATTACTTTGCTTCTGCTAAATATTATTCTTGTCATAGATTTAAGATCAACAACAATCTATGCTTTAACCATTTCCTCCCCAGTGTCATCAGTTTTTTTAAAAAAAAATGTACTCAAGAAAAGTCCATCCAGCTATGTGCCTTTGCTGAAGTGTGAGGGATCCTTAGGGTTAGTGCTAGTTACTTCTGGGGATTGCTTACCAGATTTCTCCTCTTTTCCATTAAGTTATGTTGGCTTACTAAGCTCTCCATGGTGTGGTGGCTTCTCTCTAAGCCTGCATTTCTGAAAAGCCTGGGTTGTTTACCCTTTGAGTGATGGTCGAGCTGTCTGAATTTTTAGATCTGAGCTCTTTCTACCATTTTCTCTTGTCAGAACCCAGTTTCCTCCGACAAGATTTATTGTCATTTTTCATCCTATGCTTCACTTGGGTGTTTGACAGATCCTTAGTAATCCCCACACTTTGGAGCCTTCAGAACAGAGCTCATTTCTCTCTGATGTTAGACTTCTCACTCTAATTGGCTGGGGTCTTTATCATACACATTTTCATCAGAATAATCCTGCAGCCAGAATCCTGCAGACGGCCTCAGTGATTCGACAGTGATTTTAATTTGCTGAAAACAAAACGATTGCTCTGAACTCCAGGGACTACTTCTGGTCCACCCTTGGTTGGGAAAGAAGACCAGGAGAGGCCACTGAGAGCTCTTAGCTCATACTGCCGGGTGTAATTTAAAGCTGGGGCAAAAGTGTCAGCGGGTGTCCCCAGCAGTGATCTACCTCTGCAGTCCCAGAGAGACCCCCTTGGAAGGACGGAGCCTGCAGTTTCAGGGGCAGAGGAAGGAGGGTCACAAAGTACAGCGTTGAAACGCACGTAACCCCTGAGTCTGAATTCTGGTTCTGCAAGTTCATAAACGCTGTGAGCCTCCTTTTGGCTCACAGTGCTTGGGTATAACAATATTTTTAAAAAACATATGACTGTTGGGATATTTAATAAGTTATGCCAGTGAAATGCAGAGTAGAAGCCTGGAGCGTGAGAACCATGCAGTTGCTAGCAAACGCTACTCTTCGCGGTACTTTCCCGACAACTGAGCCGTACAATAAAGTTAGCGAGGCTGCGATCTCTGAGCCAGCAGCTAATTATTCATGTTTGCTGCCTCCCTGTAATTCCCTCCTTCTCTCAGTCGGGCGCCTTCACCCCTAGCACTGTCCATTGTGAGCTTACAAACCGAGGGGAAATTCACATAAAATAAAGTTACCCATTTTAAAGCGGGCGACTCAGTGGTGCTGAGTACGTGCACGGCATCCGTTCGTCACCCCAGAGGAAAACCTGTCCCTGCTCAGCAGTTGCTCGGGTTCCCCTCATCTTCCCAGTTTCCTGTGACCGCCGGCCTGTGTTGTTCTGCATACTTCACGTCACGGAAACCCCGCCATCTGTGGCCTTTGTGGCTGGCTTCCTCCACCCAACAGAACGTGCGTGCTCGGGTTCATCCCCGCTGGGGGCTGACAGTTGTCTGTGTCGTGGTTTAGTCTGTCTGCTCTCTGGTGGACACCCGGGTGGTTCCCACCTTTGGGCTGTGGTGAGTGGTACCGCTCCGAACACGCTCACAGGGGTACCTGTTGGAGCGCTTGTTTTCAGTTCTCCCACTACTGGTTACTTATTTTAACTCATCTCCACTGCGTTTTTTAGCAGCCCATTTGCAGAGGGGCGCCAGGACAGAGTGCTGATGCATGAGCACTCCCTTCCCTGCCGGGCCCTTCTTTGTTCCTCCCAAGCTGAACGATATCCAGCTCTCTTGTGCCTCTGTCATCCCCGCTGTGAGACGGAGTCCGCCACCACAGGTGCCCATCTCACAGGAAGATGGCGGCTGTGAAAGGAATGGGCATCTGCCGAGGTGTTTCCTGGACATTAGCAGGCCCTGTCAGCCTCTCTTGCCAGTGCTTTCTTCCTGGCGTTGTCTTTTTAACCCCTTTTTTCAATTTTAACTTTGCATTATTGCGTATTTGCAGTACTTAATGTTTACATTCCTAGTGTGCAGTCGGTCCATGTACATAACACATCTCTATTCTTTTTTTCATTCCCTTCCCCTGCCTTCTCTCCTTCTCTTGGTCCTCTTCCCATTTGCAAAGATCTATCTCCCCATTTCTTACTATAAATCCTTTATTTTTCTCTTTATTTATATTTTTTAGTTTCTCCTATAAAGAGAAATCTCACAATATGTAAGCTTGTGAGTTTGATGTATTTCACTTAACGTTATGGTCTCAAGGTATGTCCATTTCCTACACAGGACTCAAATTTATTCTTCTTTATGGCTGACTAGTACTCCATTCTGTATACATACTACATCTTCTTTATCCATTCATCTGTTGATGGACATTTAGAATTTCTCCATCTTTTTCTAGGAGCAGCTGATGGCTGAACTTTCTTCCTGGGCACGATCGTTGCTCAACGGGGCTGTCCCTTTAACTCAGGGAGCTGTGGGAGCTTGCAGGAGTGGGATCTTTGAAATGGAAAGAAGACACCAACTAGCTTTAGAAGACCTTGGCTTTGAGTTTCTTTCTGCCTGTCCAGAAAAAAAGTCTAAAGTGTGCTTTTTCTTCCCCTCCGAGGTCCCAGGATCTATGACCCAGGTATGTCCCTTGTTCTCGTATGGTCACATCACAGTCCTGCGTAAGGCTTACCGTGGCTCCTTATTGTCTATCACTCTAAGACAACACCTCTAAAACACTGTGGAGTAGGTAACTGGGCTCCCTATTTTATTTCTGAGTACTGTGACTGCTTGCAAAGAGGTAAAGGAGTCTCCTTTATTTTTCTAAAGAAAAAAAAAAAACCCTGTAGAACTCACATTTGGTCATCCCGGCTTGCTAGATCCAACAGGACCTGCCTCTTCTGCTTTGGCCCCTGCCACCCTTCCAGTTGGCCTACTGCCACCTGGCCCTGGCCCACGGTTACTAAACCCAGTCGGTTTTCCTCAGTCCGCCTTCACCCGCACTCAGGCAGTGAGTTCTCTTTATGCCCAGAGCTCCTGCCAGGTTCATGCCAGCCCCAGATCTTTCCTGGGCTCTTCTGCGCATCTGGAAAACCATCCTGCCTCCGATCCTTCTTCCTCCAGGGAAGCTCCCCACTGAGCTTTTCAGCACAGACTCTGTTTTTCATTTCTCGATTTCCTGTCCTTCTTAAAGTTGCTGCTCTTGGGGCGTCAGCTGAGCAGGAGCAGTATCTGTGTGTGAATTACAAGAAGGTATTCATTCTCTGTAGGCTAACGAATTGCAAAAATCTGTCCTTGATCATCTGCTCAGCTGGGCACTTCTAGGCAGTGTGCAGCCTGTGAGACCACACCCAACTGGTATACCCGACATTTTCAAGAATAACTGGCGGTTGGGCTGGGGATTTAGCTCAGTCGTGCCATGCCTGCCTCACAAGCATGGGGTCCCGAGTTTGATCCCCAGTACTGGAATTAAAAAAAGAATACCTGTGGTGGGACTTAAACATTCCTAAGTCCCACAGGTTTCAAGTATTCCTTTTTTGTTGCTGCCTTCCTGTACTGGGTTGTAAGCTTCCTGAGGGCAGGAACCAGGACTTAACCTTCAGTTTCGCCCAGTGTGCCTGGGCCAGAGCCAGACGATGAGTCTCTTAGGTAGAGCAGATGAAGAGAATCAGAGGAAGCTTTGAGTCAGCTCTGGCTCTGCAGGGTTCCAGCAGAGCTCTTGCAGGGAAGAGCTGACTGGCTTCCCAGGTGGCCTCGCCACACGGGACCCTATCCCGTTGTGGGACACAGTCCCCATGGCTGTTCCTTCCCACTGCTTCCTCTGGAAAGTCGGTTCCTTCCCTACTCACTTTACCGTACTTTGAGCTAAAGCAGCTCGAGTGAGTTCCCCCAGGCAGCCTCCTTTCCCAGACATTGCTATTGGAGTCAGTTTCCCCCTTCTGCAATCCCTGGGGGTGGGGTGAGGGGGCTTTCTCTTCCAACCCGCAATTCCCAACTCTCCAAATATTTCTCTTAAGATGTGTTATGGTTTAGATCAAACATGTCCCCCTCCTGTGTCTGGAAGGTGCTTGCAGGATGGGAGTACTGTTCTCCCCGGGATTCACTTGCTGCTGAGCTCCTGGCTGATGTGCTGTCAGGAGGTGGTCGTGACCCAGAAGGGTGTGTACTTGGTCCCCATCTGCCCTTCTCTGCTTCCTGGCTACCATGGGTTGCACAGCTTTTCCCTGCCATGCCCTCCCCTGGGAGCAGCCCACCGTGGACTGCGGGTGTCGTGGATTGTGTGACAGCAAAGTGACTGAGACAAGATGCAGCTCACGCTTTCATCTGTGCGTGGGAGGTGCGTCCCCACATACAGCAGGGTGGCGCCTGTGGCTGCCACACAGCCGGCCCTCCTTGGGTGGCTGTGAAGCCTGTGTTCCCAGGTCCCTCGCTGTGTCCAGGTCCCAGAAGTGCATCTTCTCTTCAGCAGCAGCATTTGCACCTCTCCCGTTG